GTCTGCCAAATAATACTGAGAAGTAAGTTGCCAAAGGCGTTGCCAACTTACTGGTGTAGATTTTGCATGCTCTCAGTTTAATAAGGCATTTAAGGTGTCTCTACAGTCTTCACAAACAACTAACCCAGGACTAATAAGCATAATATGACTACATCCAGCCACTATGTTTCCTGACCAAGTCCATAGTGGCATAGTGGAATCATGTACAGACCTAGATACAGAGCTTCTAGTGATTCATGCTGATACCTCTGGTGCCCTTATATTACCATAAGTAGTAGATTTCAGTAGTAGGGTCCCCTGCTCATATACGGGTGTTTTAACAACACCACAAAACCAATTCGTCCCCAAGATACACATAAAACAGCACATAGTAAACAGCATACTCTCATCATCGCAGGTAGGTAGCTGCGTCAGCATGTGTAGGCTGCAGAGGAACAAGTAAAGGTTTATTCCACGCTGAAAAAAAAGAAAGGAAAAGACAAATAGATACAGTGTTTTGGCTGTGGAGACTTCTCGCCTGAAGAAGGCTCCACGGCCGAAACGTTGTTTGCTTTCTTTTTAGCATGGAATAAATGTTTACCCATTTTTTTACATACTCTCAGCACGGTAACTATGTCTCCCCCCACGAGCTACATCATTTCAGTGGTAATATACAGTACATAGTCACTCTATCCGTAAATATACAGCACCCCCTAAAAGTAATGTGAATGTTCAGGAATGCCTTAGGAATTCACTGTGGGGGTGCCATAATTAACTATGTAAATTAAAATGTGCTAAGCGAGTGTCCACTTTGTTCTTCAGTGATCTGCCTTCTACTGTAGATCCCAACATGCACCACCTTTCTTGTTACTTCCTAATTATCTTCCAGGCCTCACAAAAAACAGCTTTCCTCTGGGGTACCCCTCCAGCTGAAAAAGCCAACACACTGTAATATGAACTGCTTATAGTAGACTTCTGCTGCCTCAGCAGTTTTCTTTTGAAGCACGTCTAAACTGGAGCTGGCGGCATGAGAGACATTTCCGTTCTGTGCTGTGTGAAATTCTTAAATAACTCAATTATATAATTATATGGCTCAGCGATAATTTTACATTTCAAAGACAAAATGTTTATTTGCCAAGACAATGTATAGGAATGTGTAACATTCCAAATCACCATTGTTTTACTTAAGGCTAATAAAAAGAATTGGGTATTGTATAAACATTGTAAATGTAATTCAATATACCATATGGGATATACAGTAGAGACCTTGAGCACTATGAACAACGTTTGTTTAAAATATGACTGTAATTCAAACGATACAATGCGTAGCTTGCATTTTGAGGCAAGATGAAGGTGCTTAAATGCAGGACACTGACAAAAGTGATTTACTGGAATCAAAACAATGGGATAACCAATGCTTGTTTGATGATTATTTTTTTCTGCACCCCTCTAAAAAAGAGAAACAGGAAAGTCATTCATAAAGACATAGCCAATCACCTTGTTTGCAAGGCATAACAGAGTTCTAAACTGATTTTCATTCTCAACTAATTTTACCCACTTCCCCTCTACTTCACATCTCTGTTCTAGAGCCCCCCTCCCTTCCTTCACCCACTCCATCACCACCCTTGCAGCAGCTCCCTGGCTCATTCCTACTGAAACAAGGGGGCAGAATCCATCAGTGTCATTGTTTCTGTCACTTAAGCCAGGAAAACAATTAAATCTAATCGAGTCTCTACTTTATATATATTCTTATGTACTGTACTTGGGCCAAACTACTCTACAAATGTTATTGTTAGCAGTATTTTCCCCTTAACTGACCAGTGATTTATTGCTTTGTGGCAGCAGTTCTACAAAAATGCCTTTGATTAGTGCGACATTTCGGACAAGGCAACAGCACAGTGAAATACTGTTCTAGTTTTCATGTCATCGAAAATCAGGCAACTCTGATTTCCAGATAGTTGTTGGTGCTAGAGGTGAAGAGTGAGATAAATTATTTTTTTCATGGGATTTACTGCTTCCCATCGGAAATCCACAAGTGTTAGATTTAAGCATGAATCCTATCATGAAATCCAGGTTCTGGACTGTGGACCAGAAAGCTGGAGGTTCAAATCCCAGCTAGGAAGCTATCTGACTTTCTCAGATGATAACTTGCAGCTCTATAGGCAAGAATAGTATTACTGAGTATCCAAAACCCTTCCACATTAATTAGAGTTAAGCACTGGTCTGTGAGTGAAAATAAAGATACCTCATTAAAGAAAGTGTTTATGGTAAAAAAAATACAATCAAAAGCTTATTTTTTATGTTAATGGGGAAGACAAAAGTGAGAGCGAAGGAATAATTCCCATCAAGATTTTACAGTGAACAAAACAACCAAAGCAACACACACAACACTGACATGTTCAAACGGGTACCTTACCATGTACTCCATATTTGAAGCAGATGGATAAACTTGACCCCTGAGTTTATTATGAAGATCGAGGATAATCTGCATATCACTCTCGGTGATCGCACGCTTGCCTCTTTGCTTGGACACCCACCACTCTCCATCCTCATCCATGTACTTTTCCAACATAGCCTCCAAGTGAGTCGAATTTGGGATCACCATTGCGACAGCTGCCTGGGATATAAATAGTAGAGCAATCCCTCTCAGCCATTCCCGGGAGAAACACTTCATGCTGAATGACCTCAGAAGTCGCTGGGATCAACTCCAAGACAAAGTATCCCCCCCCCTTCCCTCAAGTCTGTTGGTAAAAAAAAAGAAAAAGAGTGGTGGGTTAAATCACCAACCTGAATTAAATTTGCTAAATAACTAGAGTCAATATTGGAGTTGGGAGGTAAAGTAAATCACTGTGGTTTCTAAGGAGACAGAGTGAGACGCCAGTGGATATAACCAAGGCACTGCTACATAGTAAGGCACTGTACAGTACAGATAAGCTGCAATCCATTTGATCACTCAGAATAAAATAAAATTTGCTTCATTTATGTCATTTGCCTTATTCAAATGTTGCTTTGAACTGAAAGTTAGGCAATCCACTGGACTCAAATAACATTTTTGTTTTTATTTGGCAGCTACAGTAATGAACTCCCCGGAATGCATCTTTTTCAGACTTTGAGTACAGATGCATATTTTGTATGACAGGTTCGCACATTGCATTTTGAAATGGCAAGCATTTGATTCTTGGGCTTCGGTGCGTAAACGAGTTTTCTTCCATTTGGTTTAAAGTTACTGCTCCATTCTAGTCAAAACGCATTTGTAAGAAAAACTGAATGTGAGGATACGAAGGGGGTGTGGCAGTTAATCAACAAGCATTATACTGTATCACTGTTCTCAGCTCACTTCATAGCTACAAGTTTTACACATTTTTTTCAGCAGTAATTTTGGCTGAAATAACGTTTTTTTTTTAACTAGATGTTTCATTTGAAGCAAACACGAATACTGTATGATCAATATATGCAGGGGATTAACGACGGTTGATGATGATGCTTTCTTACAATTAATACAATTAATATACAGGTTAATACCGCATCCAGTACCTGTTCATGACTACTATTTAACTACATTAAAAGAATCTTGCTCCTATCGTGACAAGCCTGTTTTTTCACAAATGTTTACTGTCTTATGAAAATCCTTTTTCGTCCACGTAAAAACGCACATAACTGCTTTTCATCTAAAAAATGAAAGAGAATTTCCTCTGAGATGTACAGTAAGTAACCACAGCTTCAGAAGCAGTTTCTACGGGGAATACTGTACACCTGTCACATCGTGTTTGTACCGTCATAAGGTGAAAACTTTTGCGTTTTCGTACACAATGAAAGTTATTATTATTATTATTATTATTTGCAGTTAAAGTGCTTTGCGTGCATGCGCCATAATCCCCTATGTTTTATTAACGTCAAACTTTCGGCAGGTAAATCCCTCATTACCTGAAGTCCTTCCTGTTCAGATACAGTTCCTCAAAAATAAAATTGCACAGCTTCTAAAATGCTGACACAAGCACCGACTTTCTTCCTGTATTCTGATTAAAAATAATATTTACCAGTTCTTGGCAATATTTTTTGCATAAATTAATATATGAGTACTGAATTAAGGTTTTCCCTCCAAGATCAACACTCACTTCTTTTCATAGTACTCATTCACAGTTTAATAAATACAGAACTTACCTCTCTGACTTCTGTCTGCAATCGATTGCAATCGGCGAAGATAGTCTTGTTTTCAACGGCTCAAAGATGTTCTGGTTGAAGAATTGTTAAGTGTGGAAGTGTACTGAAGTTGTTAGAACTTGATAAAGTCGTTACTTTGCGTTTCTTTTCCCTCTTTTGAGCAGATCTGCTGAGCGTTCAAACTCGCAGGTTTCAGGTGATTAAGCACGTTTATCAGTTCGGAGGAATTCTTCGGGATTCTCTTTCGGAAACCGCAGAATCAGCGGAACCTAACTGCATCTTCCACTTTTATCCTAAATTTGGATTTTGTTATGTGTGACGTTACTAAACCACTTCTCTCGATTGGCTTGTTGAGTTTATTCATCAGGTCGGGTTTCAGTGTTGAGAGCAGTGAGGAGCTGTAGTACCTGGAAATCCAACCCAGCAAGATTGTAGAAAACGGCAAGAAACAGGAACATCGTTCGCGTTTCTGTTTTGAGTGTTTTAATACAGACTCACGCTTATTATACATACTTTATGGTATATGCAAATTTAAGGTTATTTTCACATTTAAAGATATTTATTTTTGGTATCATAATTACTACTAAACGTATTGTGATAGAGAACCCAAATCTTGATTTTGTCACATTAGGCCCTGGACAATAGTAAAAGAAAATCCTTTGATTTGATTTCAGTTTTTAAAACAAGTGAAAAGGTGCCAAATACTCCCAGTTAAACCTGCTGTATCATTATATTGGAGTTTGCAGTGTTTTAACAACAAAGTTATAATGCAATAGAAATGATTCACAATGATGGAAAAAGCAAAGTAGATAAACAGAGTAAGATAAGCAATGCAAATTTCAAACACTCCAGACCATTCAAACACATACTGTAAAGGGAAGGATGTGCCAGGGAATCTAATGCCAGAGCAAGACCTACACTTAAAATGATTTGGAAGGACAGACTAAAGTGAGCATGTGGTTGTCCACTGAGGTATGAGCTTAAACAGCTCTTGTATCACTGTGAAAATGATAATTGGCTTCCATGGGTCTTAATGAAAGCACTACTGCCATGAAAGGACATCAATTTAAATTTAAACAACTTGAGAAATTATGACTATTAGACAACAGAATCAAGTATTAGAAACAAAAGATAAACATGAATCGTTCCTAAAAGGGCATTTTTAAAATTAAAATACGTCTGTAAGAGACCTATCTTGAAAAGGCACTCGAGAATTGTCCCAAATCTTAAGTCATATTAAATACTTAAGGCTACTAGATTTTCTTAGATCCATGTAAAATGAAAAAGAAAAAGAAAAAGTTGATATTTAGTTATATTTTCATCCACAATAAATAATGTTCTCATATCAACACGGTTCAGGCACTACTATCTTCATCTTCACGGTACAATAGGTGCTAGTTAAATCTTGTTAAGTTAGTACATTTTCAGTCACAGTCTCAGTCCATTATACTGTATATGTTAGAGGTTATGTCTAAATATAATCTTTGCTCTTTAGATCAGGGTCTGGTTTTCATTCTAGCCCAGCTTTATTACCTAATTGAAGCCTTAATTGAACTACAGTAAAAAGTTGCTTGACTGGAACATTTGCAAGTTTTTAATAAAAAGTTTCTGACTTTTTGTTACATAACCTTTGAGGGCAAAGCCCTTAAACAGTGTCCATACTGTACGTCTGCCCAGATCTCTCTAAAAAAATGCTGTTGCAGTCAATTAACCATATATGGGCCTCTGAGATTGTCCAACACACAATCATATGATCTGACATGATCAAGAGCTGAAAACAATCAAATAGTTCAAATGAATCCTGTTATCAAGTCAATTTAGAGTTCAACAGTATAATTGAGAGTTTGGAACCAAAACCAAGAGAAAAGTGAGGCTCCAAGACCAGGACTGGGAATCCTACTTTAGAGCCAGTACTCGTTCCAGGGAATTAGATGACTTTCTCCGCTGACTTTGAACCCAACACTCACTTGAAATTCTTTGTTGTCTTTTCAAACACCTCACATTCAGATGTGGCTGTAAAATTTGAATACAAAGTTGTACCACAGGTGGCAAGCAAATGTGATAAATAACAAGAAGCAAACTATATAAATGCTGAGGTTACACTAACAAAAAATGGTTCCTGAAGAAGGCTCCACAGCCGAATTTTAATAATATTTTTTAAGTAGTTCAGGTGGGGAGCTGCGTCAGCATGCATAGGCTGTAAAGGAACAAGTACAGGTTTATTCCATGCTGAAAAGAGAAGAAAGAAAACATATCGTTTCGGTTGTGGAGCCTTCTTCACGTGTGAGAAAGACAGGGCAGACAGCAAAGATTAAAGAGCACAGGAGAACAAAAGCTGGGAGGTTGGAGGAGGAGGGAGAAGGGGAGAGGCAGAGAGGCCACTCAGGTGGTGTGAAGCAGAGAGAGGTGAAGAGAGGTGTGAAGTCGAAACCTGCATGTGACTAGAGAAGATTTCCCAAAAACAAGTCTGTCATTGAGAGAAATGGGAAGGTATGAACCAAGTTTCAGGATAATTTTTGTTTCTGATGTCTTTCTGCTATGGGAGTTGAGAAACCCTTCTTTGAGAATGCAGACTGGGAGATCAGTGTGATCATGGCCGTCTGAGGTGAAATGAGAAACTATGGGCTTAAAGAAATCTTTCATCATCACAGCCCTAACATGTTCTCTGAAGTTGTCTCCTAGTCTCCTTCTAGTTTCCCCAACATAGATAGCTGGGTATTTCCTGCAAGAGATAAGTAAATGAGGTTGCTGGAGGTACGAGAGGTCACCTGGGAGATCCGGAATTGTCCTGAGGGGCCTTGAATGAGTGTGGTGTTAAATATGTACTTGCAGGTGTCACAGCGAGCTCTGTTGCAGGGGAAAGTGCCTGGTGTGGATGATTGTTGAGGGCGGTCAAGGGAGATGTGGACAAGAAGGTTGCGCAGATAAGGAGGTCGACAATATGGGATGATGGGGCGGTCAGAAAAGAGTGCCTCAGTGGAGGGATCATCCTGTAAGATGGAAAAGTTGTCGTTAATGGTCCTGGGGATAGAAAATGTGTTAGGGTGGAAGGGAAGCACCAAAGGAATGCACTTGTTAAGCCAGGGGTTCCTGATCGAGTTGATGGTCCGGGGGCTATTTTTGGCCCGGATGAGGGCCCTGTCAATAACATGGGTGGGTTATCCTCTGTTGATGAAAAAGGAGTGCATTTTGAGTGCTTGGTTCTGGAAACCCATGTCATCACTGCAGAGTCGTTGTCGCCAAAGGAACTGTGAAAAAGGGAGAGAGTTTTCAGTGTATTTGGGGTGAAAGTACTATGGCAATACTACGGCGAACCAAACTATAAATCAGCTAAATATATCTCTAAATGATTTAAAGATACCTCTAAAAAGACTTCATATATATATATTTAATTTGAAATCTCTAAATGATTTAAAGATATCTTCAACTTCTTGGGGCAGAGCGGTGGCTCTGTGGCTCTGTGGCTAAGGATCTGCACCTGTGGCTGGAAGGTTGCTGGTTCAAATCCTGCAGCCAGCAGAGGAATCCTGCTCCATTGGGCTCCTGAGTAAGGCCCTTAACCCCATCTGCTCCAGAGGTGCTGTACAATGGCAGACCCTGCACTCTGACCCCAGACTCTCTCCCTATCTGTGTGTCTCATGGAGAGCAAGCTGGGGTATGTGAAAAGATAATTCCTTATGCAAGAAATTGTAAAGGGTTAATAAAGTAATGTTAAATTAAAAATACATTCAGAGATATCTCTAAATGAGAATTTGACTTGCCATACAAACACAGCTTACAAGAGCTCAGAGATGAGTTAGTAAAGGAAGTTGAATGTTAATTATTTGTATTTATAGTTTGCTCAGCAAAATATGTTTGAATATGAATTTCCAAAAACTCAGACAAAAGACTCAGTACTGCCTAAGAAATCGAAAATGGAACCTTTAAAATATCCATACACCAGCACTACAAAATTATTAGCTAACTATTAGTTAACTCTCCTAGATTTTGTCATTTTGAAGCTGGCGGGGGGAGTCTTAGTGGGATCTACCACATTTAAAAACCAATAAAGTGAGAGTTACTGTCTGTTCTCTAGGGCACTGGCTGTAGGCCTTGACCACAGGCAAGCTGCTTGGCTCCGTGTTACAGCTGAAACAGCAGCAGCTGCTGTTGGCAGATCCCCACTGGAATGTAACCACAATACACTGATTCATACAATCTGCTACTTCTGCTCTGCTTCATATAACTTATTTATACACTGCACAAATAATAAGGATAAACCTTGAAATAAGCATAAAATAACCAACCTAAATAGGTCAAATGTTTCACAAGGTAAGCATATGTTTTTTGCATTTCGAGTGGACAGTGATTTAGAAAGAGGTCTGAATTCTTAAATGAATCAGTTAATGAATCAATTAATTAAAATCTATACACCTTCTGCATGCATTTTATTTATTTCTAACACAAATACTTTGTATTCTGTGAAGACACTCCTAGCCTTCAGACACTCCATTCCAGACAAAGCTCAAGCCAGTAGCATTGAAAAAGCCGGGGTCACCCAGTGACAAGCCATCCGTGCGATGTATGATGACAATATTACTACCAGCTCAACTCCTGATCTGGTCAGATCCCAGCAGGTGTGCAAGGTTAGGCCTGGTCAGTACTGGGACAGAAGACAAGGAAAACTGGGTTGCTGCTGCAAGTGATGCTGGTGATCCAGAAGGTGGCGCTCTTTCCTTGGGTCTACATCTCAAAACCACTTCCCCATTTTGGTGCCATCCTTTGGATAAGACCATGGATTTGAAGCCTGAGCATCACATCTAAATTCCTCTGTGGGATTGTTCAATGTGGCCTTCCTTAAATTCTGCCTTAATTGAATTGGTGCAGTAATGGACTTATCTACCAAACAGCAGTGAAGTTACATTGCTGGATCATATTGTCCGCTGCCCTTTAGCCAGGTGGATTCTGGGGTGAGTGAAGCGCTTTGGGAAACTTTGGAATGGAAAGCATTTCATTAATGTCATGAAGAATTTGGTATTATTATCAGAAAGCCATCTTGTACTGCTGCAGCAAGCCAGAGAGAGCAAGACAAGGCTGAGAACGCATGACTGATCTCACACTGGCCAGAATGCCAGTCCATTGCAGGAGACTTCCCTCCCCCCTCCCACAAAAAACTGTGCAAAGCTTGGTTTGAAAATAAAAGCTTAGGGGGGCTGCAAAGGAGAGGAAGCCGGTCAGCCTGTTTTGCTACTTGCTACCCAGCACCAAAATATCACACAGCTACTTTTTAAAAG